AAAGATACAAGGGCAGATCTGGCATAAAGGCCTCTACCTCTTCCTCTCCTGCTATCTGCCTTCTTTTCTGCCACACCTGTCAAGTCCAGGGCATGATCTCAGTTTTACCATTCATTTCAGGAGTGTTATAATATTTAATGTATCATATTAAAATTATTCTGATTCCATATATATCATTCATTTCCCCAGTGGTAGGCTTGGTAGTATCAGGTCTAGGACATTAATTCAATTATGGTGCTATGACCTCTATGTTATCTTGAAACCAGTGCCGGGTCCTCTTTCCACCTGGTCACACCTGTATGATATTTCTGGTTATTCCTTACTGATCTTACTATGATATTTGCATTTTCTGCAACTATCTATTTTGACCCCTCTTTATCTACAACACTGAGAAAAATGTTATGCGTCATAGAAGTACTGAATAGACTTCATAAAAGAAACAGGGTACCCTTACGGAACTACTGTTCTGTCTAGATAATCTAGCGTAAGTCTCTGTGACTAGTGCATTATAGGCTTTCACTGAATATTTGTTGAATGCTTGAATAATTACATAGCAATTTGTCCATATATGTATGAATGTTAAGTTAAAGCTAAAAAAAAAAAAAGCAATACCATCCGCATTTTTTTCTGTTTTCTAGAGCATTCTAGCTTGTAACCAGTTGATCTAGAGTAGTATGAGATGATTTAAAATTTTAAAAAGGAGTTTTTTTTTTAAAAAGGAAGAAATATATTTCTGTTGGACTTCAAAAATGTTTAACTGCTTCATCAGGAGACTATTCCTCATAACTTTAATTCTCTCTGTAGTTTTATGTCATAGATTCTTTAAAATAACTATATGATACATTAAAGGAGGCCATGCCGCCTGGGTCAAAACTGACTCATATCAAGACTCAAAAGCCAAGAAAAGGAAAATGTAAGCTACATATCTTCTAGAATTATTCTCCTGAACCTCACAATGGTGTCTAGCACTGAATGAAGCCATAACATTAATGAACAAAACATTGTTTCCAAGGACAATTTCAAAAGAAGCATTCCATCACTTTTGCCATCAGTGTAAGCACCTTCAGAATAAATATTTCAATGATATACTGAAATAAAACACTTATCTGTAAAAAGAAATGTTCCAGTGTATTTGTTAAAAACAAAAACAAAAACAGCCACCTTACTCAGTAATCCTTCAAGTTCATTGATCACCACAGCATTTCTCAGAATGGTGGGCATCTAGTATTCTTTATTCAGTTCAAAAATAGTTCTTGGTTACATGGTGTCTGTATTAGTCATGAGAAACATCTCAGTTTATAGGAAATAGACTTTTTCATTTATTAAGAGAGCAGGAAAAAGCATAACCTCTAGTTGAAAGTTCTGCATTATTAAAACAGCAAAAATAGACATTTTGGTGTCCAGTTAGGTATAGAGAAGCTCATTTTGTAATTAGAGAATTGGAAAAACAAAGCTAAATGAACAGGATGTGTGTTTGTGTTGTCAGGGGGTAGGGAGAGAAAGCAGGCATATAGTTTCAGATAACTTTGATGAAATTTCAGGATATAGAAACAATGCAACAAGGATATTGAAATGTTGCATATAATAACCTATATTTTAATATCTTGTCCCAAAGAAGTCTGCACTATTTGCTTCTTTAACAAATTAAGAGAGGCACCTGGGTGGCTAAGTTGGTTAAGCGTGCAACTTCGGCTCAGGTCATGATCTCACAGGTCGTGAGTTTGAGCCCTGTGTCGGGCTCTGTGCTGACAGCTCAGAGCCTGGAGCCTGCTTCAGATTCTGTGTCTCCCTCTCTCTCTGCCCCATCTCCACTCATGCTCTGTCTCTCTCTGTCTTAAAAATAAATAAAACATTTAAAAACTTGAAAAAAAATTAAGAAAGCATAAACTAGGGTAAAATATTTCTGATAACAAAACTAGTATTACATTGAATTTATGATACGCAATCCTTGACTGTCTGGGAAGTATTCTTTTTACTTATCCACCCTTTAGAGAACCACAGAATTTTAACATTATCAGTGATAGAAAATACATGGAAAATAAATTGTTATTTCTTTAGGATTTTTCCCCATGTCCCTAGAAGAAACTAGTTTGGAAAATATATTCTCAGCTAATAAGCACTTGAATTTTACACCAGACTTTATTTTGGAAGTCTCTCTTCATAAGGAGAAGGGGAACAAAGAAAAATATAATAAAGTTTAAGAATATCTACACATATTTGAGTACCTGCAGAACAACAAATCCCTCAAATAGATAGATGGGATTATTGAAGACCCAGAGATTGGTTTCTAGCTGCTCAGCATGCTGAGTTTTGGTGACTACATTATTATAGTGAATATTCTTATAAAACCAACTGAAACTAGGTCACAGCATGCCAGTTGTGAACCATCGTGTTTGGAAGGTTAGTTGAGAAAGAAAACTCTAATTGTTATTGTTAAGAAAAGACACACTATACTTTTAGCCCTAACTTTCAAACAGATGCCCAAAACAATTCAGCTATTTTTTTTAGGCCACACTGCAATGAGTATAGGAAGAAAGGTAAGGCCTTTCAGGACAAAAAAATCATTACAATGGTCTTCTTTGTCATTTACTGGTTCATAATTCTTTTTTTAGGTTGGCAAGAATAGAAGCAGGGACACAAAATGAGAGTCTGGGTCAGTCACTATGGTGTTCATGGCAAAGCATTCATCCTGTTATCTGACTCTAAGAATACATGGAGCATCCTGCAAAAATTCCAAATATGGTCAGATTACCTATTTCACAATCCGTTTGCATTTCCTATTCATAGTGTAAAGCCTAGGTAGAAATTGCAAGAAGTATCCATTTTTTTAGCTTTATATAACCAAATATTTAGAATCTGGTAACTCATTAAAAATAATAGAACTCTGATCAAAATATGTGTACATATCCCACTTAAGTTTTCATAGTTTTATGTAAAGGTACAAATAATAAATTTATGCTGGTTGTTTTAATGGTAACTGAACACTGTGCCACTGTCTCCAACTGACTTTCATGTGGATGTAGCACTTGGGACCTTCTAATTTTACTTCTAAAAGGTAAAGAGCTTGGAAGTCAGCATTCTCATCCTTACGAGGATTAAAAAACAAGCAAACAAAAATGAACAAACAGAAAATCAAAGATTTTCACGGACCTATCAGTGTATTGTGGTCATAAGGCAAATCACTATACTGAAAATTTGAAAGACAAGTGGGCAAATATAGAGAATCATAGTAGACACTCGCTTACCTGAGGCACAATTTTGACAAATTATTGGAAGCTGAGGAGGGGTTAGCATAGAAGTGAGAATTCTCTGGAAGATACAGTTTTAGGAGGGTCCCTAAACTTTTGTGGCTTTACCTCTAGGAACCCTGAGTGTTTTTCACAGTGAGGAGAAAACCCCCCTTCCATGGGTTTAGCAAAAGGAGGTATTTCGAAATTTGCTTGGAGCAAATTCTTTCTCCAAAGGATAAAGCCTTAACCAGATCATTGCTTGATCTGGGTAAGAAGAAATTACTCAATTTCAGCCCTCTGTAACCTTCCTGTTTTATCCAAGTGGTGAAAAAAGAGGTAAGAAATATTTGTGGAGGTAAAAGCCCAGGGACTCAGGCCCTCTAAAAGACTGATTAATAATTAATAATGTGACACTCAACGCCTTACCACTACATCAGCAGTGAATTATAACTAGAATTGCTGACAAGACTGACAAGACAAGACTGACTTTAAGGAGTTCTTAGACCCAAGGAAAACAGGGGAGATGAAAAATAATGACACTAAATCAGTTGTAAACCTGTGGCTCCTACATCTACAGTAAACAGTGAACATATCCCAGCTCCTATCAAGTTTAATGTAAAAATTAATGCTCTGTGACTTTATAGTTGGAGAACTCAACACACCTCTTTTAGAAATTGATAGATTCTTCAGGTAGAAAATCAGCAAGGATAGAGTTAAACTGAACAGCAGCACCATTAATCAATTGGATCTAATTGACATTTATAGAATACTTCATTCAACAACTGCAAAGTACACATTCTTCTCAAGCTTATATGGAGTAGTCACCAAGATCAGTACACTTGCGCAAATATAGAGAATAGAAATCATGCTAAGTATGTTCTTAGACTATAATGGAATTAAACTAAAAATGAATAACTGGGTGGAAATTGCTGGTAAATTCACTTGCAGATTAAACAACACACTTCTAAATTACACGTAGGTCAAGAAGATATCTCTAGATAAATTTTAAAATATATTGAACTGGGGCGCCTGGGTGGCGCAGTCGGTTGAGTGTCCGACTTCAACCAGGTCACGATCTCACGGTCCGTGAGTTCGAGCCCTGCGTTGGGCTCTGGGCTGATGGCTCAGAGCCTGGAGCCTGTTTCCGATTCTGTGTCTCCCTCTCTCTCTCTGCCCCTCCCCCGTTCATGCTCTGTCTCTCTCTGTCCCAAAAATAAATAAAGGTTGAAAAAAAAATTTTTTTAATATATTGAACTAAAAACGACAGTATCAAAAAATTTGAGGTGCAGTAATAACAGTGCTTAGTGGCAAATTTATAATATGAAATACATATATATTTAAAAATAAAGAATATCTGAAGTCTTTCTAACTTAAAGTGTAAGCTTCCATCTTATAAAACTAGAGAAAATCATTTAATCCAACAGGAAGCATAAGAAATAACAATCAAGGCAGAAATCGATGATCTTGATAACATTGAAAAGAGGAAATCAACAGAAAATCAACAAAACCAAAGGCCACTTCTTTGAAAAGATCAAGAAAATATATAAGCCTCTAGCCAGGCTTGAGAAGGTTCTAATTTAGAGTTTTAACACAATGCAAAGCCACCAAAGTCTGTACCTATTATCTATACTGTATATATATACGTATATACATATATATATGTACACATATATATACGTATATATATAGCCATCCCAAAGAGTAGTGTAAAACACCACTGTTCATTTATTATTATCTTTCACAATTCTGTAGGTTGACTGGGCTTGGCTGTGTTGTTCTTGTTCTTAGATTCTCATGTGGTTGTGGTCAATGAGTGGTAGGTCTAGAGTCATTTCAAAGGCTTTCTTCCTTAAATGACTGGCAGAGGATGTCAGTCATCTGACTCTCATCTGTTACTGTGGGGTGGAACACAACTTTTACCTGGATTTCATCAAGCCACATCATTGGTTTTTAAGGCAAGTATCTGGAAGAAAGTCAGACAGAAGCTTTAACCTTTTGGGACATAACCTTGAAAATCATGCACAGCCACTTCTACCACAAAGTGAATGTATTAGTCGGTGTTCAACCAGAGAAACCAAGAGTAGGAGATACATATTGAATGATTTTTTGGAAGAAATTGCCTTAGATAATTTTAGGGACTAGATAGGCAAGTTTGGAAATGATAAGGCAGGCCATCAGCAAAAACAAGCTTAAACTCATGGACATTACTGAAGCGGTTGTATACAGGCAGAACTTCTTTAAGAATCCTCAGCTGTGTGCTCTTAGACTTTTCAAAGGATTGAGTCAGATTTGCCCAGTTTATCTACGATAATCTCCTTTTCTTAAAGTAAACTACATTTGGACTTTAATCTAATTTGCAAAATACCTAGATTAGTGTTTGCACAGGGAACCTGCCCAAGTTGACACATAAAATTGATCATAATGAGTTATTAAGACCAGCCAATATTCAAGGCAGAGAGAGCAATGTCAAAGAATTTGTAGAGTTGTTTAAAATCAACACACACTGGATTTCAATAAAATTTTATTTAAATCTGAAAAGATAGTTGGTTATTTCAGTTAACATTAAAATGTGTATGTCTACACATGTGTGTGTGCACACACACATACATATATATAGATACCTTATAATATCTTTAATATACTGTATATACACAGAAAAAGACAAGGTTTAGGTCTTAGATTTGTGTTTCAATATTTTTTATTACATTTTTATTTACAGGTCTTTCTATAGTTGGAGTGAGTGTGTGTGTGTGTGTGTGTGTGTGTGTGTGTTTTCAGTGATACCATGTAGATTATTAACATCTTTTTTTTTTTCTGGACTCCAAACAATTGTCCGTTGAAATATATAATACTTCAAACAGCCATATTTACATAATAGTATATAAACTTTTGTCCCTCAAATCCAAACTGAGGATATTTTCTTAAGCCACCATGGAGTGAGAATGTGTCCCTTACATGATTACTCCCTGCCACTTCTTGTGAGGTCTCACTCCTCTCCCCACTTTTTGCTGGATAGGCCAGCCTGCAGTCTCTGTTGTAAAGAGGTAGATGACTAAAGTATAATCCAATTTCAGAATTCCAAATTATGGAATTTCTGGTGTATGAAAATGACAGCCACTCCTTTAGTCACACCCATTTTGAAAGCTAAGTTCATGCTGGGAGACTTTAGCCAGCTCATTGATACCTGGGTTCTACTACTCAAAACAAGTTAATGAACCACTCAAGATGAGAATAGAAAGCAGAGTTGACACTTGCAAATGAGTTTAATCTGCTTGTCCCAAAGATAAGAGTCTTGATGTGGCAGCTCTAGGCTACATCACACTAATTTAGAAGGCTTAGAAAACTCCATACTCATTTTCAGATCACCAGCGAAATAGCTTGCTGAGAAAGTCTTGTGGCATTGATAGAATCAGATACTTTTCCCATGTTCTTCTGGTTTTTTGTGTGGTTTTTTTTTTTTTTGTATCGTTTAGGTTTTGCCTAAACATGTACCTGTCACACATAATTTTCCTCTTTTGTTCTCTCAAAATGATATTTTTAAGATAATATTTATAAAGAGGAATCTAGCTAAGATAGATGAAACAGATTAAACTCAAAAAAATACTGACTTTATATGTAATAAACTAGATGAAGCTCAGAGAATACTGATATATTTAAACTCAGAGAATACTGATATATAAAATACTGATATATATCTTTCATTGCTGGTCATCAGCCTTGGAGACTGGTTCTCAGGACTTTAGATCACAAATGGTGAGATGCAGCCAATGACTGTGTAAAAATAAACACAGAGCAGCTTCGACCTTAAGCACTCTTAGAGTTCCTTCCAGAGAATGCTTATCTTAGCAAAAGCACATGAAATATAAATCTAAATGCACAGTGCCTTGTCATGTTTTTGACATTACTGTTAAGCCTTCAAAAAGAACATTTGTCGTTGAACTTTCTTTTCCAGGGACGTTAATACTCATAAAATAATTTCTGCTTTATTGAAGAGCAGTCCACTGATCTAAGAAATTAAGCCAAAGACCTCCAACCTTGTGGCATTACCAGTGACAGCATGTGGGGTTAAATCCTACAACTTAGACTTCCACCTTATAGTATGAATTGCAAGGATCTGTTGAATGCACAACTGACCAGGAAATAGATAAAATTGTTTATGTGGAAATTTGTTGAAATATAACTGAGCTATTTCTGATTTTAACTTACTGAAATCTACCTAAAGGGTAGGCAATATATGCAAACTAGTAACAGATTACACGAAAGAGTGTATCTGTACTGCAGCCAATCTGTGTTATGAGAATTCCAGTTTACAAATCATGGAAGAAAAGAGGCTTACTGTATTCTGTACTGGTCAGACCACTTGCCTATGTGCTTTCCACAGTGGCAAGTTTTAAGAATGACATGCATTCATGTGAGTTGTTAGAAGTGTCTGTTGTATCCTGTGGATAAATAATGGTGTTTTGGGTGCTGTTTTATCTGAAAAAATATTCTTAGAGGATGCATGACAACATTTCTCAAATATATAAATATTTGCCATGTAAAAATGAAATAAGATTCCATGAAACTGAATCTGTAGAGCAAAAGCAAATGAGTAAATATTATAGTGAGGATGGTTTTTCTGAATATGAGAAATCACAGTTAGACCTGCTCAGCTATAGACATATCTCCATAGGAAGTAATGAAGCTTCTCATTTTACTTTCTACTCACAATTTTTATTAATAAGAACAAAGACTCTCACCACATCACCATTTCACCAACTCCGCATACATTAGCAAAGAATTTAAGTGTATCATTTTGGTTTAATAAGAAATATACTCACAAAAATAACTAAGTTATTTTTAAGTAGAAGCATGTCAGTAGTTATTTCCCTATGATTGGAAATATTGAAAATTGATATTAATTGCTAGTGAACTGATGGAGGGAATTTTTGTACTTGATGGAATGTTGAGTTATATCATCTTAGGAATTCTAATGTAATAGTAAGATTTTTACAGCCTTAATAAGGATCATTAAAGTAGGATTTAAGAGAGCAGTGCTTTACTATTGCCTTTCCTTTTCCTCATTTGATCATGGAAAATTATTAGCCTTTCTTGTTTTACGTTTCCCAAAGAAGAAATCATACCATGTGATTGGGTTTCTTTTAATTTTTTACCTCCCCAAACTTTATTTATGTGAAAATATTATTCTTTATATATAACATGTAACATATATAAGTTGAAGGTATACAATATGATTATTAGATATGTATATATTGCAAAATGATTATGACAATAAGATTAGTTAACACCTGATCCCCTCGCATAATTAAAATTTTTGTCTATGTATGGTGATAAGATATACTCCCTTAACAGCTTTCAAGTATATAATATAGTACTGTTAATTATAGTAACCATGCTGTGCGTTAGATCCTTAGATCTTATTTATCCTGTGGCCACGAGTTTATATCCTTTTGACCAACATCTTCCCATTTCTCCCACCCCCTCGGTCTCATTTTACTACTCCTGAGTTTCATTTTTTAGATTCCCCAGATAAGTGAGAACATACAGTATTTGCCTTTCTCTATCTGACTTATTTCACTTAGCATAATTCCCTCAAAGTTCACCTATGTTGTCACAAAAGGCAGAATTTCCTTCTTTTATTAGGTCTGAATTTCCTTCTTTTATTATTATTTTCCTTCTAAAATATTTATAAATATATATATATAATATATAAATATATATAATAAATATATATATTATATATATATATACACAATATTATCTTTATCCATTAATCTATTGACAGGCACTTAGGTTGTTTCCACCTCTTGGCTATTGTGAATAATGCTGTAATGAACATGAGTGCAGATAGCTCTCTGAGACAGTGATTTCATTTTCTTTGGATATATATACAGAAATGGAATTACTGGGTCATATGGTAGTTTTTTGGGTTTTTGTTTTGTTTTTGAGGACCCTCCATACTGTTTTCCATAATGACTGCACCAATTTACATTTCTGTCAACAGTGCACAAGGGTTCTCTTTTCTCCCAAAGACCCACCAACACTTGTTTTTATCTTTTTGATAATAGCCATGCTAACAGGGGTGAGGTGATATCTTATTGTGGCTTTGATTTGCATTTCCCTGATTATTAGTGATAGTGAGCATCTTTTCATGTACCTATTGGCTATTTGTATATCTTCTTTGGAAAAATATCTTTGCCCATTTTTAACATTCAGACTGTTGTTTTTTTTCTTTAATTCTTCAAAAAAAAAAAGGATTCTATGTGCAAAAATAATGAATGCTATTATGTCACCAAGAGAAAAGATTGCCTAATGCATGGATAGTTGATGATATTCTAATACACATAATATCATACTTACTGGAGGCCTCTGATGAGGTAGATTTGAGATGGGATTTGAAGAATGGCTGGGATATAAGTATGAAGAGAATTTTATACCAAAAGGCGAGGAAGGACATAGGCAGATTATTGTCAGCTGGCAAATTTGGAGATAGTGACAAAAACGTCCAGTGGGGTACTCTGACCAAGTGGAAGGTATGATGTGGCTACTCTATGTGACAAAAGTCAGCAAACTGGAATCAACGGGTAAGTTCCATTCTGTTTTTGCATATAAAATTTTATTGGATTCCAGCCACACCATTTGTTTAGTTATTGTTTGTAGCTGCAATCCAGCTACAATAGTAAAGTTTTATGGTTGTGACAGAGCCCCTATGGCTGGCAAAATCCTAAAATATTCACTACCAAGCTGTTTAAGGAAGGTTTGCTGACTTGTGCCATGAGGAATCATTAGGTGGCCTTAGAAAGGAAAAGTAGAAATACTGCGCCTGTGAGAACTCCCCCAAGGACTTTCTCTGCAACAGTGATTCCCTGTTCTTTATTATTTTGAAGAGGAGTCACATGATAATTGTTAGAATATAAAAGACAATAATGGTTCAGTGGAAAAGCCGGAAGATCCTAGTGATTT